GTGATGTGAGTATATATATATATATAGAGCGTTGGTTGACAACTTCACTGATTTTAATCATTTAAACAAATAAATAAAATATATTCAATAATAATAATAATAATAATAATAATAATAATAATAATAAAAGGAACCAGTGAAAATGTCAAGTTGTCTGGGCCTTTCTGCATAATTAGGAACTGCAAATATTGTCCGTAAGTTATTCCAAAGCCTGACTTGAACCAAAGAAAAATTTCCCATTTTAATTTTGTTGGTTTTTTGGGGGGGGGGAAATGTCAATGTAGACAAATAAAAGAGGGTTATTACTATTATTATTATAATAATAATAATTATTATTACAAAAGAGAGCTCAACATGAAAATAATGACCGCAAAAGAAGAATGAAATATTAGATCGAAAGAAAGACAAGGAAAGGGTATTATCGAAGTTTTCTAATGTTTTTTGTGGATTTTTTAAGTTAAAAAATGGAAAGAAGAAGGGGTTCGGCCCAAAAGAGTATCCGCTCTAAGCGCGAAAATACTGAAGTATTTGGAAATTACAGAACGTAAAAATCTTGAGCTCAATCGAATTTGAAAAGTAATATTATCACCGTCATGAAAAGAGAATTGTACACAAATGCTGAAAAAATATTGATGCAAGGTTCCGACAGATTGTACTTATATTGTTCATTATTGATGACTAAGCTACAGAATACAATCGATACCGAGGATCGACCCAAAAAGAAAACTCCGTTTAATTGTACTGGGGTGAGGAAAGAAACAAATCATGCAAGGAAGATGTGGGAGCAGAGTGCCTCATTCTAAAGGAAAATTAAATTAGGCTGCGCTAAATGAGAATGAATCCTGGAAATAGTCGCTGAATAAACGCCACTGCAGTTATTCTTCTGAATATTTTAACATAGTCACAGAAAAGACATCATTATCAAACATTATACGTAGTACATCCACAAATAAGCGAACATCAGTTCGTATAAAATAAAGAAGCTGAAGCTGTTGAAAAATTTTTAAATGTAGATTCTCGTTGTATATCCAGATCGTTTCTCATGCTACATTTAATAGGTTTACTTTTTATTTCAGAATACGTTTCTTACCAATCATGAAAAATAAAAAAGTTCTCTTTTGTCCAGATTCAACCCTTAAATATTTACAGAAATGATAAGCTAGTACCTGAAAGCTACTACCAATGTAAATGTCTTCCAATGTACTCCATCTTTGAATAAATTGTGGGAAAATAAATAGAACAATCTTAGAAGTGAAACAACTGAAGATGAGTGGCCTTGTAGTGACAAATACTGATTTTTCATCCCGAAGCAGAGTTGAGCCGAATATTTACATTAATTAGTCGTGCAACGATGCTTCAAAATTTTAATGGATGTGAAATTTACAAACACAGTCATCTTTGCCTCTTCGGCAGCAGCCGAGTCGCCGTCTAAGCTCGCGAGACGCTGTACGCGTAATTCCAGTCGAGCGACGAAGTTGGGAGTTGACAAATGTCGACGCAGTTCACGCAACTTCGAAAGTGGTATTTGCTCTGTCAGCCAAGAGCAATTTGAAACACAAACACTGGGTGTGCTGCAGCACACGCTGGTAGAGCAATTTCTTCCTCGTGTTAAGCAATAACTTGTCCGCTCGTAGTGACAACTGGCTCGCTCATGCCCTCCAGGAGGAGGTCTGAAGTTCGTTTCCCGGCGAATGGGCGGGATGGAGTGTAGAGTTTGTAATCTAAGCAGTAAGGGCCAGATCGCCCACTGCCACTACTCGGCTGGAGTTCAATTCCCAGTTGATCCTTGTTCAAATTGTGGTGGACAAAGAAGGTTCGCGGCGTGTTTCCTACATATCTTTCTCTATATTTCGTGTTCACTATGCGAGAATGTAAGAACATAAAATAACGCTGATTGTGGCATCTTTGGATTATCTGGCGCACGTGAAACCCGCAAGATACATTACGCCGCCCTTGTGCATCGTACAAGAAAAATGTGGTGAACATAAGAGGAAACGTTCCAAGAACTCTTCATGTTTGTTCTTAAATGCTATTTACACAGAACACTTACAGCCTTGCTTATGAACTAGTTGCTAATAAACTAATCTAAGTCTACTTTGTCTTTATGTCCTAATTTATTCTATTTACATTTTATGATCGAGTACCGAACATTATTTACTTTATTTACACCACTCGATTTAAAATTATATACGATGGAATATTTGGAGAGAATGCAAGAGCACTTTTGGAGATCATGCGAACTTCTTCTTGCGATCATGCGAACTTAGTTCTAAATAGTTACACCGTACTAATGATTAACTGTCCGTGAACTATAATTTAAGAGATGAATGAACATAAAATTTTATGGAACGCGCAAATTCCGAGAAATTAGCAGTCAAATGTAATGAAATCTTTGATATGACAGATAACAATTGGCATTGATAATTTACTCGTGCGTTACGTATAAATAATTTACATTCAAACGACTAAACAAAAAAAAATTTAAACAGTTTTTCTTGATTTGCCTGTTTTAACACAAGCTCCTGCATGTTTGAACGGACGCTACCTTTCCGTCGCATGAAATATCTATGAATTTTGCAGTCAACTGCGAAGAGTGAGATCGCCGATGGTGCAAGTTTGTTGGTTCTACGGTTCTGCTAACTCTTGTAGAATGTCACGAGAATGTTAAGCAAGTGCGTCTGGCTCAACTCCTAACCTTCTATTTTGCTTTGAGTACAAATAAATATCTGCATTGGCATAGATTCTGCAATACCTTTACCAAGAACAGGCATAGCTATTCATTTCCGTGGAAAAATCATAACGATTTAGAAAGAGAAACCACATTTCCAAAAACACATCTATCATACAAATTTCAAGAGTTCTCGTCAAAAGGCTCCTTTGTCCAACAATACCTGGATGTGGTCTTAATAAGCGCCCCTTCCCTGCACTCTCTGTTTATAAATGTATCTTCCTATTTTGTTGATTCTTTTTGTTCGCATTCGGGTGCTACCACATTGAGTTGTTTTCGAATGGCAAATACCCGGGAAATATGTCAAAATGATGCAACATAGTATAAAGGAATAAAGCAAGGCACACGAATTGGATTGCCGGCCGGTTAAACAATTTGATTGGAATGCAATGGAATTTTCTTGTTATATTCAATTATCATATTCTAAAAACTTTCTCGTCATCTACAACTAAAATCATATTACAAGTTTTTATTTTGCCTCCAACTCTTTCATTGTTTACGCACTGTTCACATTTGTATTACATCGTATTCCTTTTGATATTCTTCCTAAAATACAGCACAGGACCATATTATGTATCAGCAATTAAGAGTCACTCCATATCTCTCTGTTTCCCTCTCTATATTTCTCTCTCTCTCTCTCGTTTCGGACCTCTAGCCTCTGTTTTTAATCTATTCATTAATTTCTTTCATTATCTCTCTTAATCCCTTGCACGTTCACTGATCTCCATCTGGTTCTTTTTCTCATTTTGTCTCTCTTTTCTCCTGTTCTCGTCATCTTTCTCGTTATCTTTCTTCTCCTCTTTCTGCATCTCTTTCTTTTTCTTTCTCCTTCTCTTTCTCGTTTTCCATCGCGTTCTGTTTCTCGTTTTCCGTCTCGTTCTCGTTTCCGTTCTCTTTCTCGTTATTTTTCTTTCTCATTCTCTCTTTCTCTCTCCCTTTCTCTCTCTCTTTCTCTCTCTCTTTCTCTCTCTCTTTCTCTCGCTTATGATCATTGGAAGAACCTCCCCTACCTACTTTCTCCCACGAACCCACCTCTCCTTTCTTCCTTTCTCTTCTCGATCCTTTCTCTCTCCTTTCAGAATCTTTCTGTTATCCTATTTCTCCTGTACTTTCCTTGCTGAATTCCTTGCCTGCATCAATGGCTTCGTCTACTTCTCCGCGCTCTACAAACGCCGTCCGCCCAATATCTGCGTTCCACTGGACTCCTATACTCTTATCTCTCGCTTGCTCTCTCTCTCTTCTCCTCTTCCTCTTTCTCTTGCTCTCTTTCTCTCTCTTTCCATCTCTCCTCTCTCTTCTTCTCTCCCTCTCTCTCTCTTACTGTTCTCTCTTCTCTTTACTCTCTCCGATCACTCTTCCGTATCAAATCAAATTACAACGCATGATGCCTCTCGCCTGCTATCTGTTTGCAGCGAAGAACTTCGTCCACCCTATCTTTACCTTTAACGCCTATATACGTGTATATTCAAGAGCTGGCTTGTCCTCCCGCAATAACATGTCTCTTACCCCATTCCTGACCAATGCTAACCTCCCTCTTTCTCTCCTCTCTTTCTCTCTCTTCTTGTTCTCTCTCTCTTTTCTCCTCTTCTCTCTCCCTTCTCTCGCCTTCTCTCTCTTTCTCTCTTTCTCGTCCTCTTTCTCCTCTCTCTTCTCCTCCTCTCTCTTCTCTCCTCTTTCGTCTCTCTCTTTCTCTCTCTTTCTCTCTCTTTCTCTTTCTCGTGCTCTCTTTCTCTGTCTCTTTCTCTCTCTCTGGCTTTCTCTCTTTTCCTCTCTCATTCTCTCTTCTCTGCTTCTCTCTCTTCTTTCTCTCTCTACTCTTCTCTCTCTCTCTCTTTCATCTCTCTCACTTTCTCTCTCTCTCTTTCTCTCCTTCTCTCTTCTCTTTCTCTCTTTCTGCTCTCTCTCTTTCATCTCTCTCTGCTTGTCTCTCTCTCTCTTTCTCTCTCTTATTCTCTCTCACTCTCTTCTCTCCTCGTCTCTTTCTCTGC